TTTTTTTACAGCACTGGGTCGATACCGCTGCTGGTGGGCTATCAGTCCCAATGGTATCATCAGCTCAGTAGTCAGCGCTTCGATACTGAAATGATTTACAACAAATCGTTCTTAAATTGTCCGTTTATAAATTTATAAATTATTAAGAAACTACGGTTTCAACTACCTCTGGCAAAGTTGACTTACATCTAGATGGATTTGTAATTATCTTCAGATCCTTTGTGGTCATATAGCTCTTCAGCTGTATCGATTCTTATAAATCCTCGGCTTTCAAACATTCGGCTTTGTGCGTTCCTGATGCAGTTAATCTAGAAAAGCGCTTCGGACGCATGAAATTTATAAAGTGTTGTTTTCATTTTTATAGGCTATTTCAATCAGAATATTCTTTGATAGAAAAGAAGATATATGGTCATTAATTCATTATACAAAATCCTTACAACCACTTTATTGACAAAAAAAAAAAGAAAACAAAAACGTTGTTATTGCTGTCCTCCATCTAAAATTCACAGTGCTTAATGCTAGTTTAAGACGGTTTCTTGCACCAATTGGAGTTGAACATTCGATTTCGAGTTTTGTCAACACTTTGATGAAAATATGCATCTTGTCTAAATGCTATGATTATGATAATTGTATATCCCCTATAACTTATCACAGCATTTTGAGCTTTTTAGAAAATGTATAAATAAAAAAAGGGAAATAGAATACCAATAAACCTTCAGATTATGAAACAGCAAAGGAAGTAGGAACAGTTTGATTTATATAGAGTTGTTTATATTCTAGTTCAAGCAAGTTTTGTGTACTTTGGAATTCTGATCCTATTAGTGATTTAAATTCAGAAGAAGCAGGCCCTCTTTGATCTACGTTTGTTTTATACGGTATAATATATTATTGTTTTAGCTGTACCCACGTTTTGTTGTCCGTCATACCGATATAAGAGTACAGTGCTTACTTAGTATCTGAACTGATTTTTAATAAACTTATTTTTACGTGCACTTTGCTATTCCACTGATCGAAGTAAAACAGAAAAGCTAGAATTCTTTAAAAAAAATCTCAACAAAGATGAATATGTATTGTTCTAATCTAAAATAGGCCATGAGCGGCAACATGACACTGCCACTAAATATGACCAAATAAAGCAGTTATACAATATGCAACCATTAGCTGTCGTGAGAATTATTGATAAAACAAATTTACCAAGACCTATAACTTCAGTTTTTATTCTTATTTTCCAACAACCTTGTGAATAGGAAGACTGTCGACAGTTTGATAACACGTTGCCACCAATACTGTCATGTCGAGAGTTATTCTGTCCGGACACTGGCAGACTGTATGCTGATTCAGGTAAACTTTTCTACCGGCTGGTATAATTCTATCTCGTGCCAAACAATTACGTCCTGGAATTAAAGATACACATCAGTCAACAACTTAATTGTTTAAAGAATCCTTAAGAATTTGTTGACAAAACTATTTATATGAAAAGTATTTTTCTATTTTTTTACAAAGCACTGGTCATATATTGAAAATTAAGTAAATTAAACCAACTGAAATCCCTCAATGTTACTGTATTGAACCGCATTAAAATCTGTTTTTTATCAACCTATCACTAAGTTTGTACTTGCATGAGCATCGCGGTCGGTGCCACATGTGGAGCAGGATCTGTTTACCTTCCGGAGCACATCAATCGCTCCTGGTTTATGGTGGGGGTCGTGTTGATCATGTTGTGTTTTGCAGAATGAAGTTTGTCTATTGGTCGTTTTGTGTTTTTTGACATGGCGTTGTCAGTTTGTCTCGGACATTACAAAGAAAAGTCTTGAAGTAAGAAAACAATCCGTTCGCATCTTTATTATATATTATACGGGAACATTTATTGAAACTTCAGGAACTAATTTTGTATTTTCATTCATTCATTCAATTAAATTAAAAGTTATCTTACTTGCCATGCTATTTTTTACGTTAATAGATTTGTTTGAACTGCCAAGGCACTACACTAACATATGTACGTTGACACACCTTAGGTATAAACTTACCGTTCGGACAAATAGGACAGCACTTGTTTGGGTCATTAATTGGATCAACGCAAAGCGTCACCAAACAATCAGCTACGGTACAACTAACATTTCCTTGGTTACAGCTACAGTGTTCACATGGTCTGGGCTGAAAATTTGATCCTTCTTGGTAATATTTTCCATTCTTATAACATCCTTGACTTTGTGGGATAGCATTCACAAATAATCCAAGAGGTATACAACAAGACGTTAGAATAAAGAGAAATTTCAACATTTTGTATAAGTGTGGTTCAATAGATATAGGTAACGAAAGATAAGAGTAACCAATAATTGTATAACACTTCTGTTGACTTATTATGAAGAATTTATCCTAACTTTTGAACAAACGGAAGTAAACAAAATGATCTGTTGTTCTTAAGTAAAAAGTTAACCCGTCCATACCAACGAGATTAATGGTTGGTTGCAGCTCGACAAAACAAACTGTTCGAAATGAATATAATTTTTTTCATAATTAAGTGGGTCGAAGTATGAGTGAAATCAGAAAATTTAACAATGGTAAATTAAGTTAAGGTAGATGGGGTGTCTAAATTATAATCCATAGAATTTTTTAATAATTTGCCAAAATGTAGTTTATATCATGCTTTTTTGGAAAAAATAATAAAAAGAATGGGTCACGGGGCTTATTTTCACGCTACAGGTTGTGCAAAATTGACAGATTTTGTATAGATTATGCATGGAAAACGCAATTTTCTGCTATAAAACGAAAACTGCACCATAGAATTTTGAGATAAAATATGAGAAGATAGCTCTAATATTATACTTTCAGATAAGAAAAAGAAAAAATGGGGTCACCGGGCCCGTTTTCTTGCTACATAATAAAATAGATAAATCCCTAACACAATCTATTGTAAAAGTAACAATATTTGAATTATCTGCCCTTACATTTGAGTTGCCTCCCCTTATGTGGCAAAGTTGGAAAAAATTGAATCAAACAAAAGTATTCTGTTTTTTTGTAAAATACAACCATAAATATAATTAAACATGTCATTTTCTATATTAAAATGTAAATTCTTACACATGAATTACCCACTACTCTCAAAATTTGCACATTTTATTAAAGGTCTAGACCGATTATTTTCTGGTATTTCAAAATCCAAGATGGAGGAAGACACCCTATCTACCTTAATATGCATTGTTGGGATATAAGTTGATAAGACAGAAACACAACAACTAAAAAACCAAAAGACATCTATAGAAGTAAACATACGGTCTTCCATTATACACAATATATCCAGCTCCAAATCGCCAAAAAAAAAACTATTTAACAGAGATTTTTAAAGATTTGTTGTCAATAACAAATGACTCAAAATGGCCATAAACATAAAGATATGACAAAAGATAAGTTCTGACGAGATTCCTCGCTTGGGATATGCCAATTATCATGTGGCGGTGTTAAAGTAAATTTTATAGACCATCTGCTTCGGGCGCATGCAATTATAAAGTGTTGTTTTCATATTTTACTGTCAACCAGTGGACTAACCAAAAGGTTAGCAAAAGAACATCTATACTACTAAAGGAAGAGACCGATTTCATTGAGCCGCAACTCCTCTGAAACCATACAAAGTCGGAAATATTTGTGATATGACGTATAAATGTAGTGTTTTGTACTTCCTAAATTTGTCTTTGAAACAATCTTTTTTCCACAGAAAACGCCAATTTTTTGAGAAAATATCCAGATTGGGAGACCGTTATCGATCCGTGTCCTATACGCTTTCGCGCATGCTCAGTCGACGCGTACCGCCCGACAACTCGGCCCACCGCCAACTCGCACCACTCAAACACTCTCACTAATTATTACAACTTACATCACTTTATCAAACTCGCACCACTAAAAAAAAAAAGAAATATAACAAACTCGAAGAAAAGATTGTTTTCTTCTTCTCTTAGTAAATTCCTCCTTTTCGGAGCACGCGTGTCACACAGAGACAGAACTCGAACCACTCGAAAAAAAAATACTACAAACTCGCACCACTGAATAAATGTTTTGAATCATCAGAGAGTTCTACATTGTCTTCTTCTTCTCTGAGTTATTTCCTCAACATAAAGCATCAGTGCATAAAAACTGTTTGAGAAACACAAACCCAAGCTGTGCATCACCATAAACATTTCAAGTAGTCTTCAAGCCGCGCTCGCGCGGGTTTTTTTCTAGTATAATAAAAATCACTGCAGGAAAAGTACTTAGTCTTGAAATATCAGTATAATAGTTAATCTTACCGTATAAAAAAATGCTCGCAGTTAGTGAAAGCAAGCTAAAAGTATATAACCGGGCTGATGTGAAATCATGCCACCCTACGCTTTAACATCGTTATCTGTATTTCACTGAAGATTTCACAAGTAAACGTCATAAACAGTAACAGATGACCTGATGGAATGTCCAGACCGAATTGCAATGCAGAAAAATAAAAGAAACAATATTTCAAACTATCGATAAGCGAATTGATGTTAATTCAAAGAAATTGATAAATACCAGACTCAATGATTGAACAACAACAGTATAATTATAACCTTTATGAATAGGTCTATCAAGGGGAAAAAAGATTTGATGGACAATTCCTTAACTTGTTGACTTTATAAATAATATCATGTGATGAAGTTAATTCAACATATTGAAATATTCAAAGTACCGGCAAACAGAAAGTTGGTGTCTGACAGATCCGGAAAGCGCATGCACGTTACAACTCATCACTGACAAGCTGACGACAAAATTTGAATTAATTTTGTTGAAGAATAGTACATGAGAAAAGTGTGAAGACAATATTTTTTTGACGAACGGACGGGCAAGGGGATTCGTAGTGAGGATATAATAAACTCAATTATTCACAGTCAATACAAAATTTTCTAAGTAAAGGATAATACATTTTTGAACGTCATTCATCATTGGTCATGAGAAATTGAATAAATATTTACAATTGTAAAAAATACTTGAAAAACAAATACATTTCGCATTTTAATAAAATAAAAGGAAGAAATAAATATAATATAACAATAATGAAAACATTTAAGTACATAAAACTTACATGTAAGAGTTTATGTAGATTATGTACACATACTATAATGATTTGGTTCCGACTGCCTGTTATCCTGTAACAGTAGGTAAGAATTCCCGGTACCATCCTGATTGACATTAACACTTCTAACTGGTAGCATTACATTGTCTGTTGTCATTTCTAAAATTTCTTTGACTTTGGTATTGTCACTGATCATTGTAGTGTCAATAGTGGTGCTATTTATTGTCTTTTCGCTTCTGTTTTCCACGTCTCGGTTTGTATTGATTGAAACATTTTTATCAATAAGTTCATAAGCATCTATTCGGTCGTCGTTATTTTCGTCGTTGTAATTGTTTGACATCTTAAGACAATATTTTCCCGTATGAAACCTTCTTGTAACACAAAGATGTATTACTGTTGCAATGAAAATCACCAAAATAATTACACTTATCGAAGTCACATATGACAAAATCGTTCCAAGTGTTATATCTAAAAATAAAAGTATCGAGAAACATTACAGTGACAAATGGTTCAAACATGTACATTTTGCAAATATTGTAAGTCTCAGAGAAAAAATAATTCTTCTAATTTTTTTTTTATCTCGTAGATAAGATAGGAACAAAAAATGCTAAAGTTAAAGATTAATATAAAATCGAAGGGGTGTGGAATGATTGCAAATGAAACAACTATCAAAAACGGACGAACTATACGTCACCGTACGTAACATTTAGTAAAACCGATACCGTAGAGTAAGTTATAAAAGGCTTTTATGTATTAAGTCTGATTCACTCATTCGTTATTCTTTCGTCACAATCTTGTACATTTTAAAAATGTTTTACAGATTTTGGTAAAATAATGTTTTAGAATATGCTCTAAAAATTGCCCAGGTTAACCTTTACAGACACATTCCAATTTATAATCTATCAAACATAATTTAGTTTTGAAAAACACGCCCTATTTATAAAATCTACATCATCGAAAAGAATGTAATTACCTGCATCAATATGGGTTTCGGCTAATGTTGTTTCTGTGACAATATAAACTGTACTATTGTCTGTTATACCATCCATGCTATCTATTCAAAAATAATGGTAATATATTCATTATAGAATAATTATAATTTTCATTTTCCAAAACAGCTGATATCACTCGCAGTTTTTGTTGGTTGTTGTGTTGCTAAGTCTTTATTTCTATGTAGTGTCTTGTGAAGTTGTATACATCTCTTCGTCGTCTTTCATTGTTTTTGCCATAAATTTGTCAGTTTCTCTCGACTTATGACTTTAGAATGTCCCAATTATATCTTCTTTTTTTTTTATTGTACTCTGTACCTGGGAGTTAAAATTTGAAACAATAAAGATGACTTCAAGTTCCATTGTAATTCTCTACGTTTATGTAAAATCATTCCAACAGGAGCAACTTCACAGAGTTCATTTTCCTCATGAAGTGGATACGACACTCCATATAAAAATTTCTTCAAAAGATAGACTCGTAAATACCTAGGATATTATGTTACTCCAAATGCTTGGATTTGTGTTTGTGATATATAAAACAAGGTCACGTTTTAGATTTTGAGCTTTAGTTAGTTATTGATACTTCCCAGATACTTAAAGACATATCAGCAAAAGTTATTTTTGATGATTTAATGCATTGCCACATGTCGCATCTGCAATACACTTGTGTCGAAGAAGTCCATTGTCTCCATATAGTTTTCTCCCTATAGGTATTTGAAATAAGTCATAGGCAATAGCATGTAACATTACATCATAGAGACATGAAGTCTTTTCATTTGCAATTGATGGCATATGACCTTGAAATTAAGATTCAGGTCAAAGGTCAACAGAAAGTTCTGTGTTTTAACATTAATTCTTTAAACCGAAACTAGGACTCATAACAGCCAGAATCGCTCACTTGGATTTCTTTGGTTGAAACGAAATATAACAATAGTCATAAGTGTTTTCTTTGTGTGTGAGAAAAGGTAAAAGTAGGGCATAATTGGGACATTAACCTCTCAGCTCCGTTTCACATGTAGATCCTTCGCAGAGAAACTATTCCTACATCATTCATAACACTTCATATTGGAAATGCAGTTGAAAGAAAACAATGAAAACACTGCCCGTAGGATTTCAATGGAAACTATGTGCCACGAATGTCACTATATTTGCCAGCCGATCAACATTTGATAAAGATCGAATGAAGAGAGTCACTCCTCATCATCAATCGTGTTAATTCAAAAGCATTTCGTATTTTACTACCAAAAAGAATATTTTTGGAAATCGGACAACCAGAATCAAAAATCAATTTGCCTTTGGTAGAAAGTGTTGTTCGTCCAATCAGAAACAAGTGAGGATCATTTGTAGAGGACCTCGCATCAATCCTTTAATTGACCAAGTGTGTTCATATAGTTTCTAGAAGATATCTTCTGACACCGTTGGCTTAAACCGGTTTTCATTAGAAAATAAATTGATAAACTTTAGATAAGAAAAAATTGTGAATTTGAGGATAGAGATATCTTCACTTGTTCTATGAACAATTATGTTTCAATGTAATAATCGTCAAAATACTAACTGCATTCAAATGAGTTATATGCGTCAATATAAAATATGAAAAAAATATAAATTTTGGTATGAAATGTTTAATATGATATGTAAGGGAAGAAATGAATGAAAATCTGTTAAAAAAAAGCTTCAGATTTAACGCTTCCTTTCCGATTGAACGTGGCTGAGTATTTAGTCAAACAAATGCCCCCTTAGTATGTAATAAGTCTAATTCAAAATATGTCTATACCAAAGTCAACATAGGGGTTCAAAATAGAAAGAAAATGTGGCAATGTGAAAAGCGAGCACCCTTGATTTTAAACAAAATATTTATGATTAATTGGTGTAGACCTTATGGGTTTATAACTTACTGTATCAGCTTGAGTTGTAATCACTTATGTGTACAATTAAAACTTATCAAGGCATTAATTATAATAGGCCTCAGTCAAAACATAAGAAAGTCGTACCTTAAAGCCAGACACATTTTCCATTTTCTTTTTGTATCTATTACGGTTTCTTAGTTTACAGAAATGAAAATTTATGGTCAAAGGTCAATGTTCATTTGTAACCATTGATAGTCATGTAATTCTAAAGGACACATTAAATTATTCTCATAATGTACCTAAGACTAACAGTTTCTGAGATTAGAAGAATGGAAAACGAACCTAAGTTGCAACTTGATGTCCCAAACGTCTCTCAAAATTAACATTTTCTCTACGAAAAAACGGTCCCCAATCTTCAGCATTTAAAGGTTGGCGGAAAAAAAATCTGAGAATTAAAAGGTCAGCAGTAGGAAGTAAAACATCAACAACTACACAAAATTGAAAAATGACTTATTCAATGCAATTGTGACTTGGATGGAGAGTTATCTCATTGGCACTCATACCACTTCTTCTTATATCTATTCAACATAAAAAAGGCTCACATTCAAAAAGGTTAGTTTTGCTCAAAGATGCAAGACTCGCTGAATACTATTATATTTTATTCTATCAGTGCAAATATATCTTTAATATTAAGATGTCGGCAATATATTTGAAGGTAAGGAATTTAGGATTTTAACCGTATATATGATTGGTTTATTTGCAACTTATGTCTACAACAACATTTTTTTTTGCATTTATACGTTTAGTAAAACAAACCAATAATTATGACATGCATTTATCATATAGACTGACATGGACTGACGTGAATTCAAGTGCAATGCAATTGTTCAATACAAATATATATATACTTTTTCATTTTTTTGGTCTTTTGGAAAAAGTTGTTTGTGCTGTATTTAGACCCCTCTACCAAGAAATTTGTATTGCATGCACACGTATAAAAATTGCGGTTTTTATCCAACGCAATCATAGGTTTGAACGTTGTTTTCAATTTAGACTTGTATATATATATAATGTAATGTAATGGCCGAAACGTATGGAAAATTGTGTTATAGTTTTTATTATATATATATATATATGTATACATATATATAAGTTTCACCTAAAACAATCATTTAGTACTTTCAATCAAAACAAATCAAATTATGCATATACAAACCAACGATATTCAAAAGGACTTCAGTAGTATTAACTTGTCTATCTATAGTTTTGATACACCTGTATACTCCAGCGTCTGCTCTTGAAACATTCTCTATCTGCAAATTGTATTCTCCCCTTTGTATGTTCCCCACTATCTTTAACTTGTCTTTGTTAGGTAAATTGATATTAATATTCCTTCGATCACCGTAAACAATATCATCCCGTATCCATTGACTTTGATTCCCGAAGGTCTGACATCGTAAGATAACCGTTTCTCCCACTCGTCCTACCATTTCTGTCCTTGCATGTACTAGTAATAAGAAACCTAAAAGATGCCATACACGATGAGAAAATGCCAATTTGAAACCCAAATGTTTAAGTTATTGGTCTGTAATGTTAGAATTTTCAAAAAAGGAGAAGTCCATACCATGAAAATTTTGCTGCAAAACGTCTTACACAAAGTAATCAATGTGGGTAAAATATTGGGTAAAACCTTGGCACATATATATAGATTCCATCACTACAACAAGTGTGTTACGATATTTCTCCACTCGAGACAGTTAAATTTTAATATTTAAAGCGCGAGGCTTGCCGAGCTTTTTAAATAATTACTGTAAAATTTAACTGTTGAGAGTGGAGAAATATCGTAATACACGAGTTATAGTGGTGGAATCTGTTTCTCTAATGATTTTTATCCTTCCTTTACGAAGATTTGCAGAAAGTTGTGTTCTTTATATGAGACGTCATCACTGACATCAGGCAGGGTCGCCTTTTTTCATGACGTCACAATAGGAGTTTCAGGAGAAATAAAAAAAAATTAACGTCATAATTAAATTTCGACCAATCATTTGCTGAGAACAGATATTTCACTAGTGAGGAGAAATATTTTTCTCAGGAAAAGTGAAAATAGCACAAAAATTAGAGAAATTAGTATTCAAAACACTATAAATTAAATGGCCATTTTAGGCCATATATAACAATTTCCGTATGTTTATCTTTTCCAGGTAATTTCTTCCCATTCATTTATCAATAAATAAAACATGATTCTGCTGTCTTGATTGTTTTTGATATATCTGTATTCAGCTTTGAGAAATCGTGATCTTAGCTTACAAAGGGGGACTTTTTTGATTTCATCATTTAAAATTTACAAATTAGCAAGTTCTTAGACCTCTAGGATTTTTTTTTATATCTGCCTAATTTTTATTCTAAATTGTGATCAATCATACGGAACTTTGTTATTAACTGACGAGTTTGAAAGTGTTTCAAAATTCCCAGGTCGTTTCTTCTTCGCTTCACATCAATACTTAGTTTTACAAATTGTGACTTGGATGGAGAGTTGTCTCATTGGCACTCATACCACATCTTCTTATATCTATTAGCCAGCACCGCCGCATTTGGTGTTCTTCACAGTGTTATTTAAAGTTTATCATTATATCTTAAAATTAATTAAAAAAATATATATAGATTAATACAACTCTGGGTTGATTTTTACTTTCTATAATAGTTCATCCTTCTCTTTAAAAGTTTGTTCAAAATGTAATAAGGAAGCATTTGTTTTTAGCGTTTTTTTTGGTGTGATCAAATTAAGGAAAACGAGCATTATGTACCATTTATTACTTACCTTGATAAGATAATGCCATAAACAATAATACGCTTTCTGTTATTTTGTGCATTTCTATAAAAAGGTGTAAGATAAGAATTCATGTACCAACTTTACTCACTATTCCTATAAATAATATAAAAATCGTGGTAAGGAAATGATTTAAGCTGCGTTGAGTACATAATATGATTATAGGAAAATAATGACACATATAAAAACAGAAACACTTATTATGCATTCAATTAATCAATTGAATAAACCTGGATAAAGTTCAAGTACAGTTAGCGTTCAGATAACAGTGTCTTCCTGGAATGCCTACATTTTATAAAACATAGAATGCCAACACAATAAATTGAAAAGATGTTGTTTTAGTGAATGAATGTTGTTTAAGAACAACATTTAATTATTAGAAAAGGCAGTTTAATATTATTTTGCACCTTAAAAATATCCCATCTTTCAATAGAAATTTAAATAGAAATGGAATGGAATAATAAGTGAAATGATATGAAAACTTGAAATTAATGAGGAAAAATCGCTTAGTCTTCCTATTAAAACTCAAGGTAAAATTACCATTGTTTTGCAATGAATAGATATCTTCTTTTATTTCTGTTTGTTAGAAATGAAGACATTTTTGTTGTTGTTGAAAGATTGGTAAAAAAAACCCAATCAGGTCTCGATGACAGCTCAGTGAAAGCATATTAAAAAAATACTAGAATTAGGAGACCTCAAGGGTGACTGGCGAATAGAAATATTGTCACTCTTAGTTTTCTTCAGAACGGCAGTAAAACCCTTGCCAAAGTGGGGCGTCCGTTTGCTTGTGCTGGAAGTATAAATTCTCAGTCAGACGTTAAATCCGATGCCTCGTTTAGAGAGAACAGTTCCACAAAATTGAACAACACCTAAAAAATGATTGTTGATGGTCTCTTTGTTTTTGTTTTACAGGCCATTTGAAATAATTTGTGCTCTTATCTGCTCGGGTTCGTCTCGTATATATATGTTCATCTGCTTATACAATAACAGGACATTTGTTTGTTGTTATACGGCACCGTATTGTCCTGATTACTGTTCCATATTTATAGTGTACGTAAGGTATCATATCATAAGCTAATTATCAAATATTCAATCAGGTAATTTGGCGCAAATGAATTCCGAATTCTGGCGAAATTGATACCTTTGATAACTAAAATTTGGCGCAAATTATATATCTAAGAAATAGCAATTGGCACAAAAGGTCTACTGTCCAAGGAATAAACCCAAATAAAAATACCCGTAAATATGTATCAAAGGTAAGAATAAACGAGACAAACATTATAGTGCTTAGGAGTCTTAAATAATTGTGACATTCATTTAAATTAACCACTTCATAAAGTTTTCACAAATTGTGAGACAACATTTTAATTAAGTGTCATCTCTTATAAAACAAATACACACAATAGAAATTCAAGAACCACTCTTAAAAGAGTTATATTACTAATACACATATAAACATAATACATATAAAAAGCACAGTTTTAGATTATAATATACATTTTAAAAATAAGGAGATGTGGTATGATTGCCAATGAGACAACTATATATGATCAACTATCCGCCAAAGTTCAAATGAAGTGTATGTAAGCAATTATAGGCAACCGTACGGCATTCAACAATGAGAAAAACCCGTATCGTGCAGTCGGCAATAAAAGGCATGAGAAATATGAATAAATTCAATTGAGAAAACTTACGGCCCCATGATTTATAACAAAACAATTTACGAAAAACAAACATGACCGACATGAACCAACGACATCTAAACTACAGGCTCCTGACTTTGGACAGGCATTTACAGAATGCGGTGTGGTTTAAGCTCAACTCTCCCCTAACCTTGACAGTGGTTTTACAGCACAACATAGGAACAAACTATAAAGATCAGTTAAAAAGGGACTAACTCATCAGATCGATTCAAAGCAGAAAAAACATTTAAGAAAAACACAAACCGGACGTAGCAGGATATTTATACACCCATAACAACAAAAAAGACATAAAGTACAGATCTGAGAGTACTCGCAGTTACTAACAGCTAGTTCAAAGCCAATTACACAATTAATTAAAAAACAATTATGTATCAAAGACTAAAGAAATCAATCAGTACACATCCAACACCCATTGGATTTAGTATAAAGACGTCATTACAAGTCAGAGAAAAAAACATGACCTTGTGCAATGCCAAAATATAGGGATCGACAGATTGTAGTACCGTGAAAGTGTATATATGTATAACAATGATATTAGTGTGGTTTTAATTTACTGATAACGAAAGCAATATTTATATAAATAAAAACAATATTCAAAGATCTAATTACAGTATTGAATTGGTAACCTTTAAGAATAAATTTACTTAAAGGATTGTGTGTTTACCAATATCGTATCTAAATTTTCGGGTTCGGTTAACAACACCACCGTAAAAATTAGGATGTGCTATTCCGTTTGAAATAAGTTTTCTAAAGGTACAGCCAAACTTGCAAACCAAATCTTTGTATCTATGGAAGAATTTGGTAAAGGTTTTAAGTAATTTGTGGTAACGGAATCCCTGACTGAATTATTTACCAGTTATACATATATTACGCTCATTGAAATCCAAAACGTCACAACAGACACGGGCATAGCGAACGAGTTGTGATATATAAACACCGTAAGATGGTGTCAAAGGAACATCACTGTCCAAAAAAGGAAAATATACAATAGGGAAAAATCGTCCCTTTTGTCGTAAATTTTAGTGTAGAGTTTCTCGTGTAAAACTGAAATATCTAAATCTAGGAAAGGACAGTTATTGCTGTTAGTATTTGATTATTTTCCAGTGAGTTCCTTTGGGTAAATTTCGGCAGTGTATATAGAAAATTCTTGATTATTTAACGAAAAATATCATCAAGATAATATTTCCTCCCAATAAAAGATAAAAGAAGATTTCGGTAGTGTAAAAATAAACATTTCATCGCTGAATAAAAATATAAATTTATTTTTTTCTGATATAAGTATAAAAACCATGGCAAAAAGATTCAACATGACATTAATATAACATTTGTATATTACGGCAACTCAAAATAACATGTTTTTCATATCCTCTATTCTGTATTAGTTTTACAACGAAAGCACACTCCTGATACCTTCCCGTTTGAATTTTAAAGATGCGATACCATATACTGGAACTTTGCAGAGAGCACTCGTAAACTATTTCCCTCGGAGTATTTTCACAAACATAATTTTCCACTTTAAGGATGTAGTTATGTGAAATTAAAAAAAATCTGGAATTTGAAATTGATACTATAAATCAGAAGAGCATTAGTTATGGAACAAAATAAGCTAAAAATATTGATAGATTATGGAACTCCTTTTCGAGATATTTGATTTAAACAGAATGGCGGGAAAAGGCTGACTCAGACTTGTACCTTATATTTGGGGTTGGCATTATTTGGGTCTCAAATCGGAAGAAAAGAAATCTAGAATCTGCTTAAATTTTAGAAATGACCTTTTATGAGCTATTGAAATCTTCTATGAAAAGAAAAGCGGGTGATATGGGGCAAAATATTTTACCCTGTATCGTAGGGAAAAACCCAAGGAGTCAGAACATCTGACAAAATTTCTAAACCTGAAATGACTACATCCTTAAATTCGGTTTTAAACAGTTTATCGATCTAGTTTGACATTTTTGAAGCCAAATTATTAAACTACTCATCTTTATATAAATCTAAGCTAAATATTAAATATCCTTGAATATCTTTTGAATTCACGATATATTACAGTTGCATTAATGTTTATATTCTTAAAACTTTGCCATTACTGTAAAACACCCGTCTTTCATTTTTCTAGTTTTTTTATACATATATGACCACATAAATTATTCTTTGTTCACTTTTTCGTCATCTATTTGATAAAATTTTGGCAATGGTCTTAACACAGCTGTCCATTGCTTTAAATTGCAGTCCACTTAGTCACTATCTTCATGAAGAAATAAGTTTGGTGTTTATGTTCATACACCCATAAAAAAATCGCATTGCTTTATTTTTAACCACATTTATGCAAGAAATGTCTCTGATTTCCCAAAATGGAAGCACCACAATCTTATGACTGACAATACAAGTGTGTCATAAACCTTTATACACGTAGATTGATAATAAAAAAATATATTTGATTTATATCTGGCACTCAACAAATCAAGAGATCTGCTTGCAAACTTGCATTTTGCCATAAAATCATAATATAAAAAACCTTGTAAGTAGTAAACTAAATAGATTATATAGTGAAACAATTTTATTGTCATCATTACCAAACATTAACTCATATACTCATCGGATCGTGGGAATGAAAGTGTTTTTAGAATTAAAATTTAGTTTTGTAAATTAAATACTCACCTTCATAAATTTAGATATCAGTCCACTCGCTGCATTATTCAACTGGAAACCAGCCAGAAAAAAGAACTGTACCCTTGTGACAACCTCCCCCACCTGACGCATGCGCGCCATAAACCTTCATCATTTGTTCCTTGAATTGCCAGGCACCAAGGGGGATGAAGGGGAGGGGGCGGGACCTCTGACTGATGAAGGTGAGTATTTAATTTACAAAACTAAATTTTTATTCTAAAAATTCGATTTTTATTACATTAAATATCTCACCTTCATAAAACAGAATTTAACGAAGCACTGAATCCCCCTCACTAGGAGGAGAAAAAACAACCTGTTAAGCAGCAACCAAAGGTCCTAAAGAATAGAGGTTGTCACAATGAAGAGGCATAGATCGTAAATAATGGTTCTAAAAGGCACTATCTGACCTCCAAAAACCAGCTGACATGATTTCCGACATAGAGGAGGAATTAAAAATATTCCAAGAAGAGACTAAGGCTCTGACTTCATGAGCTTTAACTTGGTGTTTAGCTAAAACTTCAGATGAAGCAGACTTATAGGGCAACATAACAATATTGCAAATCCAGGTAGACATGGTTTTAGCAGAAATGTCAGAAATTGTTTTTTTAATAGGAATGAACAACCTAGAAGAACCGGCAGGTTTTAATTTTGCTGACGAAGCTAGGCACAAAAGCAAAGTTCTCACAGGACACAAAATCTGATTACCTGTAGAAGCAGGTAAGGCAGGAA